TATGTGGCTGGGTAGCCAGTAGTTATGCATGTATTTAGATTTTACTATATATATTTAGAAAAATCTATGCATTTAAAATTAGGCTGCTTTGCCGCAAATAAAAATAAATAGAAATCAGTTTTGGATTTTGAAAACGGAAGAATAATTAGCCTTGAATCAAGGCAGTAATTACTTTTGGAGTAAGAGGATTGCGATCCGCTAACTGTACTTGTTCTAAGTGTAGAACGAAAGGTCAGTGACCTAAATTACGCTTCTTCTAAGCGCAACGCTACGGCAGCCCCGCTACACGCCTCCACATTTGGGGACCGCAAGTGATAACCTACCTAAAGTAAGTAAAATCGGGGTAAGAACTCATTTTGCTTGTCATCTGTGAGAGATATGGTGACAACATCGCTGTGCGCAACGACGCATGCTCTGTATCAATAACTAACGGCGTATAGCCTAGTAGTTTCACTATGGACATGACAAGGGTATAGCGTTTTTACAAGTAGCACCTCTACTGGCAAGACTTGAATGCGAGCACGTTTTTATCACGCCAGCATCTGTTTGAAGTAGAGCGTAGTCAAAGAGAGGCTTAAAGGGCTCACTGCGTAAATTGCATATTTAAAGTGTCTTAATCCAATGCTATTTGAGCATAATGTACTACTTCCTAATCAGGAACAACAAAGTGCGAATTTTTGATTTTCGCATAGTACTTATCAGTTAAATGTTTTGTCAAGTAAGGTGCAAACGCTTTGCTGACAACTATTGACATTGTGACACATTACCTCAAACGATCCGATTTGGTGTGTTTTAGAGTTAAAGTTGTTTGTTGTAATAAGTTGATGAGCAGATTTGCTTCAGAAATCGCCAAAACATCCAGTCACGTTATTTGCTAACTTCGGCTCTCAATCCAAACATCGAGTGTATGTTCAGAACTCAAATTGATCGCATTCTTGGCGACCTTGATACAGCCAGAGTTTTCTTTGATCTACTCTTATCGAATCAAATCCGACTATCAACAGCGATACGCTGAGCTGTTGAGGATGCAGTAGTACTTACTAAGCCGAGGTCTTTATACTTGGTTTCCGTTCTTGGTGGTATACATTTATCATTCCTTTTCAAATTAGAAAAAACGAAGCATATCAAAAACACAAGATAAGAAATACTGAAGAGCGAAGAATATCGATCAAATATCAAAAATACCTTAGAAGCCGACGATTAGTATTTTGAAATGTGGGTTTATATGAACAAGGTGTTAGTTATTATCGGGTTCTTAGACTCATGATTAAGTGTGTAGGCAAGAATGCAAAATGCAGGCAATCTACCGTGTGTATAGCGATAAATCTCCACTATCAGAACACGATCATGTTTTGCGAAACATCAGGGTTTTGAACGGCTCAGAAGTTTGGAGAAATTGTTACTAATGTGACCATATTTTCAATCTGGCAATAAAAAGACTAGTTAATTTTTTTTCAATTTTCCTGCGCTGTTCAAACTACCGCTGATTACCAACAAAATGTGCACAAATCGTTTCCTTCCAAAGAAGTGATTATGATGAAATAATATTTTGCTCTCATGCTAGATTAACATAAAACAAGTGAACCTAACGTCGATCGAGTAATTGGCTAGAAGATATTTACTAATGGCCGTCATTGTTACTGCTTAGCTGTTTCTCCTTATTAATGAGCGCATGTATTTTGCGCAGCTCAGTTGTTCGGTCCAAAATTTCGCGTTCGACAAGAGCAGTCTCTTTATATTTTCCCAAAGCGATCATCTCGGATATGAAGCTCTTCCGTGAATCAACTTCTTGAAGAACCGCATCGTATATCTCTTCAAGCTGTGTTAGATAATCTTTAGGGGATCTTCCGTTACGCAGACCAGCAGCATGTGCGAGTTCTCGGTCAAGTTGATCTGCATTAACCGGTAAGTGAATCCTGCAATTTCCGCAACAAAAATACGCACCAGATCCGGGCATGAGATCGCGGGGCAATATGCTTCCGGCAGCGTAGGAGAAAGCTTGTTGAAGTTTTTCTTTCTCCTGATTTGGGGCGCGTCTAGCCAAACGACAAGCAATTATCAGCTAGACCATACACAAAACGGTGCGAACTGGTACCTGAGGCAGCTCATGCGGGGTGCCTCTATCTGCCTTTTAATCTCGCTAACCTCCTTCTCAATTTTATATAGCGGTTTTTTGTGTGTCGTGAGACGATCGATCGGGTGCATCTGGAAAATATCGAGTCAAGCTTTTAACATATATCGATTACAGATCCTGACCACCCACAGTAGGGGCTGCAGTGGTTATAGGAGTCTTTATTGCTCGACTCGAAGTGTTTGCCGCCAGTTGATGCGTTCTTGAGTCACTGGCACCTGCCACTGCACCACCAGGAATAAATGGCACCGTTATCTCTCGCGTTTTTTTTTGTTTTGGTTCTGCAGCATCAAGTAGCCGTACTTATCAGCTTTATACTAAATCATTTTTGCGACTAACTTCATACTTGGATACAAAACTTTTGGTTTGTTTGTGCCGCAATAGAGCTTCTTCAGCAGCCGCCCTGCCTCAGTGTCACTCCCGAACGCTCTGCCGTTAGAAAAAGCTCAATAAACATCACTTCCTAAAGACATTGACGTAAACAGACTCAGCACTCGCTTCCACGCTTCCGAAGTGCGATCCGATCGTTGTCCTTCCATTCTGAAAGAGGATCAAACCTAAATTAAGTGAGCTCGTCAATAGCATCCCTGTTTGTTTAGCAGTTACTTTCGCGTCGTTTTGTAATTGGAACAGAATCGGGACGTCGGAAGAAATCTGAGTTGAAATGGCTACACTTACGCATTACCATTTTCGATTCCGCACTCATGGAGTCTTTGCGCCGCCTTACAAGCTCTGTGTTTGACACAGGACTTGTACTTCGTGGTAGCCAAGGCGAAGTGCGTGCTCCAGATGCTCGCTCTCTAAATCTCACATTCATGACTGAGCGACTCGTGGTCGTTGGCGCGCCCTGCGATACCCCAACCGACAAGAAGCGCAACTTGGTGAATGCTGATGATCTGGCTCAATATTTGGAAACTCACCACCGCAATCATTATATGTTTTTTTCTCTCAATTCTCTCGATGATGTGGACGATAATGGGCGACAGCTTGTGGCTGACAAGCTGCATGAGCAGCTGCTTGAGTTTAATTGGGAACGTGACGGCATGAAGGCGCACACTCCTCCCTTAGACCTCATTTTTCGCATCTGTTATGCCTTGAATGCATGGTTGTCGCTTGATCCACTTCATGTAGCACTTATCAGCTGTCAGACTGGAAAGACTCGTTGTGGCGTCGTAGTGGCTTGCTACTTGCTGTTCGCAAAGCTCGCGGACAATCCAACGATAGCCTTTGTCGAGTTTTACAGAAAGCGCTGGGACATGATGTCACTCACACCGCATGCACTCAAGAAAAAGACACCGCCGTCTATCCAAAGATTTCTTACGAGTTTTCACGCCCTTTTACAGCAGAAGCCGTCAAATGACAGGCCGCTGCTGCTTAAGGCCGTGATATTCCGACAGCTTCCCGTGGAACTGCAACCATGTGTACAGATCTGGGATGACTACAAGCTGGTATTTTGCTCTAGAGAGTTACAAGGTGAAGAAAAACGGGAAGCTCCGGTATTAGACTGGAACGAAGAGGATGGATTCTTTGCCATCTTGTGGGAGAACGGCATTGAGCTGGATAGTGGATTTACAATTGTGTGCTCATTTGGAGACGATTACGGCGATGCAGTTGATGTGGACGCTTCCTCAAAAGTGCTTTTCAGGTATGCAGACTCGACACTGTTTCTATTTCCCGGAATTGTGACGCTTAAAAAACGCGATCTGGATCTGATGAAACAATACGAGCATGGATTTGATGAGGATCAGTTTTCAGTGGATTTAGTCCTGCGCGAAAGCAGTGCACAAATGTCTCGAAACTTTTTCAGGAAGGACTTTTCAGGGAACAGCGCGACATGGCAAGGGCTGGTGGAAATAACTAAGCACCATGTCGTTCTGCCGGATCCTGCAATGCATTCAAATTTTGTCCGAATGGGATTCTCAGAGACATCAACGACTTTTGCGTTGCAACGCTCTCAGAACGCACCAAATGTGGCACTGGACTTGCTGCACTCTAAAGGTATGTCGACAATTTGTGCTCAGGCAGCAGCGGAAATAGTAGCAAATAAAGAGCAAGTGACAGGTAGCAACAGTGGAAAAGAAGACCTTCTTTCCGAAATTGATCAGCAGCCTGCACTTCATCGCCAAACAACGGCAGAAGTTAACACAATGCAGTCTAAGCGCTTACAATATACAGCTCTGACGTTATCGTTGTGTGATACGTGCAAAGAAGATGATTTTATGATGCGATCGCAGCTTGTCAAGTGTGCAGGGCAGTGCGGAAAGTACTACCACACAACATGTGTGGGATTGCGAAAGATTCCATTTGGACTGACAACTACGAGTGATCGAACAAATCATGCTGTATATGTTAAAAAGTTTTTTAGTGCATGGGAATGCGATGTTTGTTTTCCAAAATCTCCGAATCCAGAAAAAGCATTTATAGCAGTTAGAGACATTCCATCAAATATGAAATTGGTTCCTGCTGATTGGATTGGTCAAGACCCGGCAAACTCACAAGATATCACTAATGCAAGTTGCGCGAAGGACGTGCATAGCACAATTACAGCTTGTGATAGTTCGACTCATTCGATGGAAGAAGAATCTGACTCAGCAGACCCAAAAAAACTTTGTCAGCTGAAGAATTTTCTCGCAACGAGCGGTTTATCCCTCAAAGATCTCATAAATGCAGTAAGGAGTTCAGACATCAGGAGCGCTACAGCTGTGTCAGAAAAAGACAAAGTTGTTCCCGCCGCTGCATCTGAATCACTCAAACTGGAAGTAAGGTCTGCTGCGCAAAATGATTTGGAGGCGGCAAATGAATTGAATATTGCAAGTAATAGGTCGCTGATTAGAAGTGAAGATACCAAGTACAATTTGATGCTAAAACGTGGAGTCCCATTCGAGGGAGTTCAAAACTGCATGCGGATGGATGGTGTCGATCCTTCGAATTTGCAGCCTATATTTCCGATCGTTGATTCCGCAAGTGACGACTGTAACGTGGAAAAAGAAGTGAATAATGTTAAAATACAGCTGAAGGACATGGAGGTTTATGCGCGCTACTTTCGAATGCTAAGAATGGGATGCCCAAAAGAAGCTGTAGAGCAAAAACTTATCATGGATGGGGTTGACCCAATTATTTTAGAACTTGGTCCCACTTCGATATACGAAGAAGTAAAGGGCCGTATTGCTATCAAACGCTACGAGGCAAATCTCGAAAATGGTATCAAAAGCGCGCACCTGCCTGAAAGCAGAAACAAAAATACTGCCATCGACAATGTATCGTCAGGCGACCGCGACCTGCACGTCCAATATGATAAAGTATCGAAGTTGGGGATTCCTGATGGGGCAGCTGATCAAAATATGAAAGTGAATGGCGAAGGTGGGCGTGCATTAGACCAAGACAATAGCGCATTTTCCTGCAAGTTGCCAAAATCAGAAATAGGCAAGAAAGCCGCTACCTCGTTAAATCATGTGAAGCTGAAGGATGATCCAAAGTACGCGAAGTTCTTCAAAATGCTGCAAATGGGGCTTCCCGAAGGAGCTGTGCGCCAAAAGATGAAAGCCGAAAGCATTGACGAGCGTGCTTTGGATATAGGTGGTAACGGGCTTGTTTCAGAATTGCTTCGTTTCGCGACTAGCGTCAAACTTCAGGATGATCCGATTTACTCGAAGTATTTCAAAATGCTAAAGATGGGGCTACCAGATGGTGCTGTTAGACAAAAAATGATGACCGAACATGTCGATGTTCGAGCGCTCGAGTTAGGGCCTGATGCATTTGTTTCACAACTGTCTTCCTGTAAGAATTTTGACGCATCAACAGTGCCTGTTGTGCCAAAGGTTAGACACGCACGCAAGAAGCTGCACTGGCAAGCAATATCTGAGGATCGGTTGAGCAATCTTAATCAGCAGACGATTTGGGAAGACGAAGATGATGACGTATCTTTTGATATGGATATGGATGAGCTTGAAGCGCTCTTTTTTGCTAATCAAAGTTCAGTTAGCGTAAAAAAGAATTCGGCTCGTGGACAAACAAAAGCTTTAAAGCGGAAACAGGCAGTGACACTGATCGACGGAAAGCGTGCTATGAACGCCGCTATCTCGCTGGCCAGGATTAAGCTTTCATACGTCGAGATTGCTGATGCTGTGGCAAGATTTGACCAAAGCGGATTGACAAATGAGCAGCTTATTGGTATTAGCGAATTCTTGCCAACGTCGGAGGAGGTCGCATTAGTTTGTGGATATACAGGGAATAAAGATATGCTAGGCGAGGTAAGGTTCTATCACCCGAGCACTTGTAAATTTTGATCATAAGTGGCATGTCAAACAGGCCGAGAAGTTTATTATTGAGATAGCGAAGGTGCGGCGATATGCACAGCGAATGGAATGTTTGGTGTACAAATTGTCTTTTGCGTCGCGTAGCACGGAACTTGCTACCTCTGTGGCACATTTGCGAAAGGCGGCTGAAGAAGCAAAAAGCAGCCGACTACTGAAGACATTGCTGGCCATGGTACTCAAGCTAGGCAATACACTAAATGGAAGTGGTGAAGATGACGGAATTAAGGGTTTTACTGTGGACTCACTTTTACGGCTGGGGCACACCAAGGCCATCAATAAAAAGACGACTGTTTTGCATTATTTAGTCCGACTAGCGAAGAAGAATCACCCCCAGATACTTGACTTCCAGGCAGAACTGCGCAGTGTACCTCTCGCAGCACGCGAGTCGTTCGAAGCTGTCGATGGAGAATTCAAAAAACTACAGATGGGGCTGAAAGGCCTTGAAACAGAAGTGGATCTTCTTGAGAAGGTATGAAAAGTCATTGTTTTGGATTGCGTTTGCCACTCAAACAACCAACTTCTTGTTTGACTGTTATTTACTGAGCAGCAAGCAGTCGAAGACCAGAACTTGAAGGTCACAATCAGGGCAATGCAAACTGCTGCCTCTGAAATCGAAAGTCAAATTCACGCTCTTGCGAATGGAGTCACTGAGGCAAGAGAAGAAGTTTCGAATGTGTTAAATTACTTCGGTGAAGACTCAAAGCGAAATCCAACTGATTTTTTTACTACACTTGCCTCCTTTTGTTCGGTACGTTAAAAGCACACAAACACTAAACTTTTTGACGTTATATTTGCGTTCTGCACGTTAGATTTTCCAACAAGCGCGTAATGAGGTCGATACCGCGGACGAGGCTGAACGCTCGAAGGTGCGGCGATCGAGCTCCCTTAAACCAGCAACAAAAGTCACTGCCGAGGCAACTGCGAAGGAATCACGTCCTATCTTAGAGCGCACTGACAAGCGGTACTCCAATGATAGCTAACTAACGTTTGGTCAATTTTTACTTAACTTTTTGCGAAATGATCCTCTTTGTGTCGTACACATTCATTTCTTTGTGATGTGCTTCGATTTGGGAGACGCTCATCGCCATCCGACCGATTTTCTCCTGGCGCGCTTGACTTTTTTTGTTTGGGACGACCCACTATTAGAAGCCAAAACACGCACCGCTCCAGCGACGGGACTACGAACAAACAACAACCAGTTTGTAAGAAACGGCCCTTCCACAATCAGTGATAATGCAAACTTGCATTCGATACGCTTTAGTCGCGGCGTTGGATTCCGAGTATGGTATGGAAGACGACGCTCCAATGGTTTTTAGAGACAAATCAAACGAAACTTGCTTGGAAGCTAAAGTAATGCCATCAGCATCTGCGTCTGAGTCGATTGCGCTTGCATCATTGCCACGTTGTTTTTTTAAAATACTGAGTCCAATTTAAGATTTAATATCAGCTTGATATCATTGAGTCCGTAAACTGATGGCAAGATTTACCTGCGAATTTTTTCGGAAACGTTAGTTCGTTTTCGTTTTCCAGAAATTGGAAGCGAACGATCTCTTCCTTTGGCTCTAGATTCTCTAGGGGCCAAGACTGACAAACTTAGGCGCCTTGAAAAAATTGTCGGAGGCGATATACCACTTGGCTTGCCGTTGTTCGGTAACTTTGCATCTGTTGTTTCCGGTGACGACTCATTACCGCGCAGTATATTTTCGGCAACGTTCTCGATGCCATTCAACCCTTGATCATTGGCGAGTTTTTCTCTTTCAAATGCGATCAGTCACGTATAAAATTAGAAGGGCAACAATTAATTGCAGAAGTTCGCTGATCTACTCACTTTTGAGCGTACAAGCTCCACCTGCGCGAAGTGATCGGAGGTGGAAATTCTGGCGGTGAAGGGGTTCTCACTTGCTGCAGAGCTTTTCTGGTCTCATCAACCTTAAGCTTACGACGATGTTCATCTTGACGATACTCTTCGAGCCTTTTTTCATATTTCCTGCGCAACTCAAGCTCTGCTGATAATTTCTCCTGGAGAGTCTGAATTTGGGAGACTTGGCTAGCGACCTAAATTACACCATACTCATAGTCTGAAATAGCTATATCAAGCATTCACAATTAAATGATTCTTACCACTCCGTTCAGTCTGGAAATCTCCGCTCGCTCGGTGCGACGCGATTTACCCATTTGAACATGACTGACACGTGACGCGAATTTTAATGAGTTAATAGTCTCGTGCACGTCAGCGCTTCTGGAGCTCACATGCACGAGCAATAAAGTCCGGTTCAGGTTGCCGCTTAACAAATTTTGTAAAAGGTGAGTAAGTTTTGAATTCCGAAACGGGACATGCTTTTCTTTTGCTAACAAAGCTGATAAAACGTCACCCACAGCCGCAAGGGATTTATTAATGTGTTGCGATTCTCGTATGGTGAGTGCGGGTGTATCTGCTGTCTTGATGAGCCGTTCCGAGCCAGCCAGGTCCACAAGAGCCAATCTGCCTGTGTCTTTCTCTCCATTTGATTTACTGTTACGCTGAATATCAAACATTAGAATAGTGTGTGAACGGTTGCTGCGGTCATATTTCGCCGTCATGCGACTGGAAATAGCTCGATTAATTGCATCATGAAATCTCTCGATATCCGAAACTGTGACTGTCTCCACGTTGTTTAGATAAACACCATTATCACCGTGGCGGAATTCTACAGCAGCTGAAAGGTTTCTCGACGGAAAACCACACATACTACTGGCGCTGGTATGACAGCCCGTGGTTGATCTCGTGGGCGAAGTACTGTCAGCTAAGCCGATAGAAGTAGAAGCTGTCGCTGTACCTATTAAACAGCTACTGGTGCAAGGCTGGGCCAATAAATCATAAATCTCCTCGTTGTAGATTTCCACAATCTGAATCCTTACTTGAAAGTCATAGACATGCTGCTGTTGTGCCACCGAGTCAAATATAAGCTCGGCTGCTCGATAGTACAGACCTTTGTCACACTTTGTACCCTGCATTGTATGGGTCTTACCCGATCCGGTCTGGCCATAAGCGAACACGCAGGCGTGTCGGCCCGCGACTGTCGAGAGCACAAGTGGCGCCACCTCCTTAAAAACTGTGGATTGAGAATGTTGCTCATGAAAGACACGGCTAAACGAGAAGCTTCTGTATAATGCGCCGTCCACAGGCGAATATACGCTTAACTCCTGCGCTGACTCAACCTGTACACGTTTGCGCCGTTTATCAGGACTCAAACCCTCGCTATCGTCACCACTGGAGCCGATGCTGGTTGGCGGCATGGGACGCACGCGGCAAATCACACGGATACACCCTTCTGTCTCGGCCAGCCGTGTCTCTAGGTGACCACGAGCCGCACGCTCGCGGGCCAAAGCTTCAAATGACGCGCGCTCGCGCGTTTTGCCTCGCTCTAGTGCAGAGACGAGCTCTGTACCAAGCACACCAAAGTCGTGACTACAGAGCCGAAATGATATAGCCACGTCACGTTTGAGCGCTGATAGACTTGCACGTAGTTGAGATGCCAGCTTGCGCGTGGTCTCGGCGTTGTCTTCAGCCATGATCCAAAATCGTACTAGGGACTTAGTGCGCGCCAAAATATTTTTAAAGGATTCAGATGGAATATGGGAAAATTTTTCCCTAATGATAATGCTAAAAATATTGTTTTACTAACTTGAAAGATGGACCATATATATTGCAATGTTCGAGGCTCGCTGTAACGAGACTGCGGACGGCGGAAGTATTGACTACGTTAAAAGCGCATAGTGGTCGATCTCGCACGCCACACATGGACGGAATCGGAATTCTCCAAAAGCTATAGGCGGCGAGGAAGCTGGGGTATTCTTCGATGAGAACCATCACAGCAACTTAGTCCCGACCCGGCACCAGAGCCTTCGTGTGAGAAAGCGAGTTCCCGTCTGTGAATATACATCAGAGGTTGAGACGTTTTCTATGCTACGCATCATCTTTACATGAGCTGCGAATTGCATGTCTGTTCCTTACGGCCGAGTCCTCGCCGTGGAGCTCACGACGAGGTCCACCTCGCTACCAGTAAGCCGCCCCTGATTCAGCAAGCAGATCGTGCTAGTCTTGCAGCGACATTTGTAGATCTTAAGCAAGAATTTGCCTCCCATATAACCTGCTGCGCTCTGACGAAGCCCTTACATGATAATGCGAGCAATCCTTCTGCTGAGACAGAGCGCTGAAAAATCGCTCTGCGAACGCCTTATGACCCCTCGAGTGAGTACTCCCCGGAAATTACGCATGTGCCTAAAGCAGGAGTGGCTCGGTAATCCCGTAGCCTCTATAAGGATAATACGTTCTGGTACTGAGGGTATCGCAAGGTATCATGCTTTACCTTCATGTGGGCTAAAGAAGGCGGGGCGTCACCGATTCACAGCTTTGCAAGTCAGTCTTAGTAAAACTAAAGTGATACTTCGCTTGATGTGGAGTATAACGAACAATGGGGGCAAGTTGGTGGGAGTTCATCAACTTCAGTTTTCGCTGTCGGTAGTCCTGCTCGTCTTCGGGGATCTAGAAAAAATATCAGCCAAGTCTCTCATCTTGACCAAAGCCGGGTCCACTTTGCAGCGGGGCTATCGTAGCTTTGCGCTTAGAGAAAGCGTAAGTTAGGTCACCGACCATTCGTTCTATACTTGAAACAAGTACGAGTTTAGCGGATCGCAATCAGCTTACTCCAAGAGTAATTACAACCTTAACCCAAGGCTAATTTACTCTTCCATTGAAATTCAAAAATCTGCCGCAAAGCCGCCAAATTTTAAATGCATAGATTTTTCTAAATACATAGAGTAAAATCTGAATACATGTTTAACTACTGGCTATCCAGCCCCGTACCGTATTATTGTTTGGGTGTGATCACACCCTGCCCATCTGGTGTGACACGCACCCCTGTTACCAGGGTATGTGTAACTCCGTTACACACTTGTTAGTGTAAAGCCTATCCCGCTGGGCGACACTGTCTCTTCTTCCCGAATATAATGACAAAGGAGGATGCGCCAAGCTGTAAGCGGTTACAGAGCCAGGGCATTATTGTCGAAGTGGGATCTCAAACTCCCGAGGCTTTCAGAGTTTAGAATTTATTTCATTTACAAGATACAATCATACTCCGGTGACCCATCGGCTCACGATCTCTTCCACATGAAGCGGGTCACCCCTTGCTCATCAGGTAGCAAACTTGCCAGCCTCCTCGGTAATTGCAGCGCGTCCAAACTCCAAGAGTTTTGTTGTGTGACTTAACTGATATCAAATGCGCGGTCATATTGACTGGCTTAAGACCCCAAACGTTTGAGTATCATTTGGCTGCATCAGAGGTGATGGCAGCTCAGCAACAGGGGATGGTTCAGACACTGCATCGTATCAACAGATCGTTTTGCGTCGAATGGCAAGTAAATTCATAGGCTCATTAAGCTCACAAGATGTGTTTGCATTCGCTTTAAAAATTTAGTTCATCGTATTGTTGCTACGAACGTAGTAGCGAGGTCTAAAGTATGTTTTGATGACTTCAGACAGGTAGGTAGGCAGTCAGTCTTATAGTAACTCGTTTCACCCATTATATATTCATGTGTACGTCCGTCCTGCCTCTGGCATTCTTTTAAAATATTGGAGAGTCTAGGTCTCAGTCATAGTGTCGCGGAATCGGTAGTGCGCTCAATCTCCTCGAGATAATACACATTTGCGCAACATGAATCAGTGAATGTGTCCATCAAAAAATCAGCACGAACATTATATGCGTGTGTCATCAACACCATTGTCTGCTTCGGGTGGTATATTCAGGTGGTCGAGTTAATCGACACTCATAACGATAAAAGGAGAATCAATATCGATCAGCTACCAATATTTTGCTGAACATAAATGCTTCTTTTTTTCTTTTGGATGCTTCAAATAGCATTGATCCGTTGCATTAACAATAAGGTTGTACCATCGATTGTCTACGAAGCATAAATTCATTATTTATTAATCGAAGGATGTGTGGGTAGGTGGGGCGCAGTGCAACATTTGTAGTCCTCTTCAAAATGTACGACAAATGCATCAATGTACATTGACGCAGCACCAAACTTAGCAGCACTGGTGCCAAGATAACAAAGTGCGATCAATGAATTCACTCATAAGGTCGCAGCATCATTCGTACTACTCGTGATTGGATTGCAGATGCGGTGGATCAGCAAGAGAGGTGAGCAAATTGAATATTCGACTCAATTAAGGTTTAATGTTGGTAATTGTGTCCGGATGTTTATTCAAAACTTGCCAGAACATTTGATCGAGTATTTTAGCTCGAGCAAGCTATTATCAATATTCATCGGACATTTCAAGTATTGTATTATCTAAGTATACCCACGCCACCAATCTACCTGAGAATTTCCGTCTGTATCCCATATTCTAGGTTAGACGCGTAATCCACACTTGTCGTCAAAGAATCTGGCTTCTAACCTTCACGTTAGAGCTGAAGCTTCTGATTTAATGCCTCGACCTAGTCATCACATTAAATTCCCTCATCATCAAGCCCATTCGAGTAAGCCAGTTGCCTGCTAAGTTACTATGAGCTCAAGTCGGCGCGCAAAGCACAAAAAATCACTTTCCAAGTGTACCATGTGTTTGCTCATTCAAATTGGAATGAGGAAAACATGATACTGTAAATTTTATACGTACACATTGCCCTTCTATCCAATTGTATAGAATACACCTTTATTCAATCGTGCAACTCGTTACACTTATATTCTATCTGCTTATTGTCAAAATTTAAAGTATAATTACAAAGATGCAGACGGCGGGACTCCATGAAAACGAGGTCTGTTATGCACCTGGGCTTTTTGATTATTAGACTATTAAGAAAGGCAAAACGTAAACATTTGTCTTAGTGTATCAGAACTTATTCCTTAGAATATGTTAAACACGAAGAGCAACCTAGATCAACCGCTTGTTAGGCTCTCGGGAGTTTATCGTATGAGCATAATCTCTGTGCGTGGTACAGAAAAACTTTATCAGTCAGAGCTTTCTATGTTCAAGATGCATGCTTACATCGTTGCTCTTGATAAGAGTTAATGTCAGTTAGACGGCTGAGTCGAGATAAGCAAGATCCTCCATGATGCTCACCAAGATGGACCGACTCCTGCCTTCATCAAAATGCTACACTGTTTGCGCTCTGGATACTAAATTATAAAATCTTCCGTTAGATACTTGAACAACTGAAGTTGTGCTTAGTTTTGGTCAGAATTGACATATGCATGGCAACCGAACACCATCAAATTTGTCAGCTAAAACTTTCTGCCGTTTCAGACTTGATCTGGTGATCTGTCATGTCTGATGGTATGTTTGCCAAAACAGCTGCTCAAAATCGCAGATGTCATCACTGCTTTACTTCAGTACGACTTGGACAACCCAGCATTCTACAAAATACATGGTGTACACTCCAACAGCGTTCGGATAATTCGCTCACCAATGCCGTTCGGCTGAGCCATCTGCGGAGGGGTAATCGTCTAAACCACACTCCGACTCTTGAAGAAGTTAGTCACTTAGCTCGACGTGTCTTTGCCACTGCTGTCACTTTTGAATAATACGACGACTTTGCCTGTCTGTGTCCCCGCAATCGCGGCAAACTTGTTGTCACACTTCGGCCCTACATACGAAGCAAATACACGACTTCTGGTCGATCAACAAATATTACGAAATAGCGCTTGCCACTAAGATTTGTCATAGATCACACACATTGACATGGATAACTTTACCACTTATTTGACATGACCTTGGAATGTAGTCTCAAAAAAGCTCGTCATAGTTTCTCGCCTGGTGCATAAACACATTCATGAACTCTCATCGATTTAATAATACCAGGTCAATGCCAACACCGTACATTTTCTATGATAGCGCCTCCGTCATGACGAATAGGACTGAGTTGAAGGTGCCAAATACATAATGTTTTCCTCATTGCATCTCGATGAGCTGGCTGCATTGGCCTAGACAACTCTAATTGGCGTCACGCAGGGATAGAACTATCTTTGCCTTCGTGAGCATCAAACTTTCATCGAACACCTGTTTGTATCGACAATGCAACTATCGCGTTCAAAGGTGACTGGGCCAATATATTTCGTAAGGAATCCAGTTGAGGAGAGACTGTGTGAAACATTATTGATATTTTATGCGGTTGCAGTCACGCCCTTTATTTGTCGCGTGATGTGGACATCGACATCATGTACTGACAGCCTGAGCTACGCCATCGGCCGCATTGTGCACGTTCATCGACAAAGATGTAGTATATTCAGCGAATTATTTGAGTGATTCCTATGCTGCGTTGCACCTGATATGACCAGTCACTCGAAATTTAACATGTAATATTAGAGTTAAAACTAATATGTGAAAGTGATCGTCATGGCTGTTTTCAGTCTACGCGACATAACACTCTGCATACTGTTGCCGTTTAGCATTTCTTGAGTACGCATGAAGCCCTCTGCTATTCAAAGACGGTTAGGTAGCAATAGTGCTTTTCGTCTCTCGCACTTCCTATGTTTGATAGCTCAATAAAATTAATCTTTTCAGAGTGCAGATTCACCGACATCAACCACACCGACTGAATCATAGCATTTCGTGGAGCAGCCGAGACGTCACAAAATTTCACGCCGGCAAATCGGCTTTCGTCTCCGAAGCCGCCACTAAAATCTGAAACAAATCGACAGACTATTTAGAAGCACGATAAAAAGTCGATTACGCTGATCGTAGCGCCTGCAGCGTCGAGCTGTTACGCCGGTATCTTGATCCTATTATGTGCTTCTGCAATCATCACCTTTACTCACCATTATCGTGGAGATAAGACGGCGAAGAAAGCGATTGTTGGCTAGTTTCTTCTCCTCGAATTGCTTATCCCAACTTGACCATGCATCAAGCGTACTGTCAGCAGACCAAACCAAAGACGACTGATTACGATGATACTCATAGCCTTACGTGACTTCTTTTTGAACTTTGACTGATCCAGGGCGGTTGCGCAGTCCTTTAGATCGATTTTTCCAGAGACGAACTCCCACAGGTCGCTATATTCAAGAACCATCTGCATCCCAAACTTCAATGTGTGGAAGCTAGAGCCCTCCAACTTGTTGATGCGGCTGCAGTGGAGAATTTCATCGCGACGCTGGGATCGAAAATCGAGGCAATTATTACGGAGCTTGGTAATATGATTGTTTCAAAGTCCTTTATTAGTGTTTTGGTGAGTAGATTGCAAAATGCAATGAATACACTCGGTGCTCGATTCGCAGAACTAGTTAACTCCTTCGCGAACAAAGTGCGCTTCTATTATTTGCGAGAATCAAATCAGCTTAGAAAATACTGACGCTTATTCAGTAATGCAGACTTAATTTCTTGTCGCCTGAAACAACAAGTAACAAATGTAAGTTCATGCATACGCTTTTGCGATTGACAAACGTTGACATGCCCCGGTATACTGCGTGTCTTCCTTCATAAATATTGTACATAGTTTCAATGTCGTTGATGAACGACGCGATCAGCGATATTACTCCTATCAAAATAGGTATGTCAGTAGTCCGACAGTAAATCTGTAGAATACTTAGTGAGATCTTAGAGGAAGCCGCCGATCGTGCATACATCTTCGAGCTCGCTATGCAACCGAAGACACCTCATTCGCTCTCATGTATTCATTTTGCGTTTCTTTCACTTCGACCGTGAATAACAAATGACAGACTTAAGAGCTTGCTGTGCAAAAAAGTTGCCGCTTGCTGTCAGGTCCTTTAACAAGCTGAAACGTCTTTCACTTCATCGATTCCTCTGCGTCATTGGCAGGGCGATTGCTACCGTAGCTCTTTGCTTAGAGGAAGCTGAGCTATGGGTTACCGACCTTACGTTCTTTCAAAGCACCAGTACAAGTGTAGCGGATCGCAATCCGCTACTTCTAAGTACTGAAGCCTTCTTCAGGCAAACGAGCACTTATGTTCGATAACAGAACTATATGCAATTGTTCTGGTGGCGGCAGAGCCGCCAATATCCAGAACCCTAGGATCTCCTGATTAAAATAGTAATACCTAATTAATATAGCAAAATCTGATTTATATAAGAATACGTATTACTACTAGCAGACGTTGCGGTGTAGCCACACCACTGTGTTATACACTAACTGTGTAATACACACCTATGTACGGCAAAGATACGTGTGATCCCGTTACAGCGATGATGACTGAAAAACCGCTGGTGCTACAGTAGAGACAACATGAAATCATATCACTCACCCGATGAGCGACTAAATGTAGTTCTGAACGATGCATGTAGTAGGTCGCACACCCTTAATTTAGACAAATATCAGTCGATCGTTTTAGACCAGTGACTGTCGGTATACGATGAATTATTGTCTTCGCTTACTTGGATAGTCAATTTTTCGCAGCCTCAAAGAAATTTAATGTATCGACAGGTGCTTCATAACACGCCATGCTTGCAATCTCCGCATTTGTAATGAAGATAGATAAAACATTGCCGACATGCCTTATCAGGGCCTCCCTTCTAAACTTTACATCTTAAGACAGTGTAAAACGGCCGTGAATAGAGATTGGTAATGGGGTATGTATTGTACGATGGGGTACGTACGCTTAACACTTTCGATAAACCGTACACATATATGCTGTACAATAACAATAAACTATTGTGTTATCAGAAAAATTAAAAATACTGAAGTATAAATTCAATTTTTGATGTTAGAACTTAAGTAGAGGTCCATGATACACGTACGCTTTTAGCGTGTCTTTGGCGCTGACGAAATCCCTTTTTGGGCTGCTAAACAAGAAGGCAAAGAGTGCTGACAAAAACAAAAGCCATGGTATTTTGTGCCAGTGTCTTTTTCTTAAATGAGCTCGACAGTGCGGCTCGGCTGGGCAAACAACTTGCGCAAGTGCACCGCAAACGATGCTGATCTCACACGACCCATTTTCAGTCTATTCAAATCAAAGGTTTGGGTTGCGGTGAGAGAGACAGCCTTTGAGACTGAAAAAGATAGCTGGTAAGATATCAAAATTGGCATCGCAGGACAACGTGAAGGGCGCAACGATAACATTAGAAAGATTGCTTAAACATAGAGACATCGAGGTTAGGTGAAAGTAGTACAGTATCAGGACAAAAAACGACTGATAGCGGTGAATAGTCATCGAAGGAAGATGTGAAAGTGAGATAATGTGGAAAGCGTGAGCCGCAATAAATGCAAATCGGATGCAGGCAAAGGCCTTTTTCTGAAGGGCATACACGCACTTCCACAAGAAAGTTTGGTTCTAACGGACCGTAATCGACGCGGATGGCAAATTGAACAGTCTTACGAGTTTGATGGTGTGCGTAAACGAGCTCGTTTGTAGTATTGATGTTCATCTTGATGTGCAGTGTCTTGTCCATTAATTTTTGAAATTGCGCGAGTCAATTTAATGTAAGGAATCTAACAGGATTTTTTTCTTGAGAACATTAGCACTATCCTTTCATTAATTGTTAATTTAGAATATTTCGAGAAGAGGCACGGTCATCAGTCGCAGCGCGCTTCTTGAATCCTAGCTTTGTGTTGCATTGGGCGGCGAATGGGACTCCACACGAATAACTCATCATTCAGCTATAAGCGGCGGGAAGCTTGTTGAAAGATCTGTTGTCAAAATTGTGCATTTAAAACGAAACGGAGTTATAGACAAATAGGCGCAAAAAAAGCAGGTCATAAATGGAATTATAAAGATGGATGGTCTTGGTGTGCAATGAATTTGCAAGAAGCAGCCCGGGGTGTCACTGTTCATACGACCTCATATATTTGACATGATCATTGTGGCAGTCGTGAAGTAAATTTTGCGCTTGGAGAAGTTTGTGGAGAGCATCGCTTGTGCAAAATTTAGACATGGAGGTTAAATTTATATACGGTTTGGCAAGTAGGGAGAGATAAATTTCGAGTACGCAAGTTCAAAGGAGATAATAGCTTAGCTGCTATATGTCGTGCAATCTTGGTCTTGCCAGTGCCAAAGCAATGCTAACTTGGCTTCATAATGTGGATTTAGATACGACCGAACAATTTACGAGCTTTCACGTCGTTGCACGTCTGCCATACCTACCGCGTACAATCAAGGTTTGTTCACTCGTCGAGGGAAGAGATAATTTATGGATCATGCTTATGTGCTTAAAACTCTCATAACCGGGGTATTGGTCAACTCATTCGCGAGAAAGCACATTTACCATATTAATAGAGACCTTTTCTGTACAAGTGTGCTCGCACTGAGACTCACAGAGGAAAACACGGTCGACCCGCAAAGATTAATTGCGGTACTGGCGCTCTCATGAATAAACCGCATCTAGGCTGAGCAAGAAGAGGGGCTGCTGAGCGACACCCAAATACTCGCAGATGTTACATCTGTGAAAAAACCAACCTTTTAAGCCCTTCATACCACCATCTACCCATTTATATATACATGAAGTGTTGGGCTCCTACGCGGAGTCAGGGACCTGCAGACCCCTCACTAGACAATGGTGAGACTCCGTTGACGTAGTGCGGCGTCCTGTAGCGAACTGGGGTCCGTTCCTCCTCGAGAAGCTCGATAGCAAGTTCTAAAAGTATTGACTCTCTCTAAAGGCCGTGGGGCTTTCAGTTCACTTTCGTCTATTGTTTGACTAATCTTTTTGGAAAATGTGAAGACCTAAGCCCTGACATGAACAAGGCTGCCCCAAAAATTTGCGTATCTGTCAAAAAGTGTATAAAAAAGCGGCTTTGTCTGCCGCATGCGGGTACCATATCCGTGGTCCTTGCGATGGGTAGACATTAAAGGTTGTTTATACCTCCTTACAAAGACTGAGATATTCGCCAACATTAGCCTCGGTTCAATTAGCCAAGCCTCCAGCAGCCCTTAGGGGTAGCTTTAATAAATCCTAAACTATTTTCTTTGAATATTTCCACTAACTCCTAAGTGGATTCCTTCCTTCTAAGACGGGACTGTTTTCCTCCCTCCGCGTCGGGAATCGCTTCCTCGTCGCACAAGTGTTTGTGTTGTGTTTGGGGCAATATTGTAACAAGCGCTCTCTTATAAGGCCGTACTTCCTAATCAGATAGAGGAATTTGTCAGCGCCAAAGGCACACTTTCAAAATTGACAAACGGCTTATTCTAGCGCATACACTCGAACACTGCTCGCAAGTATTTTTTATAGATCCTTAGATTCGATTCCCTGCGCGCTTCACGACAATGGACAAAGGCAATGATAGATGTCACTTTCGGCAAGCAGGTGACTCATACCAAGACCTCCCTTTTTCACCCTACCCCTTTCGTTGGAGCGATCAGTGTCGCGGCAAATGCGGGTACAACTTCCGTGCCGCGAGGGCCGCCGGATGTGAAGGCTTTATGAGCATGTCAATGGAGACTGGTTATGCTGACAAGCGATTTAGTGTCCGCCGAGCAGCTTCGTTAGATTGCAGATGCTTCATCTTAAAGTCGACGCTTCCTTATCGTTCTAAGTAGTGACGGAGTCACAGAGATCTTATATGGCAGGCTTGAATGTTGTGCAGAATTCCATGTCTCTTCAAGATCAACAGGATCGCCTTTATAATCAGTATTTGCAGATTAAACACGGTTCAAAACAATTCGGCACAAGGACCGGTATTGTCTCGGTGAAGGCTGACAAACGAGAGGATGAGGTAGGTACAGTTGTGAAAGGTGAGTTCGACTTTTACAACAACGCTGTGTCTCTGATCCTGCTTCAAAATTGTTTCATTTACTCACTACTATAATAATTCTCTCAATTAATTCTCTTAGATTACTGTTAATATCATGAATTAATTCAGTCAGACGCCTATTTTATGCGAAACCGAAGCGGCTATCGGATGCAGCTTATGAGCACCGATCTTGAGAGACTTCAGTCCACAGCCTTGTAGTGAATGGCGCGCACTCTTTCCGCATCAGATGGCAAAGCTTGCAGACTCAAAACGTATACGTTTCTAACCAGTATAAACGTAATCTTTGTATCGATCTTAAATACGCATTTATGCTTCCCAGCACAACAAATACAATTCCATCTTCAATACGAAGAACTTCTCCAATATCATCGTCTTCGACTTTACCAAAGTTTTCTTCGATCAAAAAAGCCAAGAAAAAAAATTCGAACAGAGTCCCTCCTTTCATAATAGATGAGAAGGTAAGATCAATATTGGTAAAGCTGCTCGCTACCAACTGATATTTCATCCATCAGGGATCATCACTTCCTCAATTTTCATCTGCCACGTTTGAAAATGAGAATACAATCAGACTACCTGATTCAGGGAAGGTAAATACCCATTGATAACGAGTAAAAGAATGAATTTACAAGTTTTGATTTATTCTCAGGAGCTAGAGGTGCTGAAGTGTATTCTCCTACGCGAAGGCTACCTGCAACGATTGCGTAGCGCAAGCACTGTCGGTCATGTCGGCGGTATTCACCTTGCTGATACACTTAATTTACTGGATTTACTTCGTACAGCAACTTTAGAGGCAGTTGAAGCGATCGTGGTATGGCGACATGCTAAACAAAAGGGTGAGCGAAATGGTAATCTCCAATCGGTATCCGAGCCGGAGCAGTACAAGTGGAATGGGATCAATTATTTACTTAAGCTTGCATCAGATTTGGAATTTCTGAATAAGCACACAGGGTTGACAGAGTCACTAGGATTCACTTTACACCGAAACCCATTCATACTTGCCTTGAATCTTGATCGTCGAGCAGAAATGCTACAAAATGTCCAGTCGGAAGATCAGATTGATAGTGAAAGTACTCGGTATTTAGATGGGGAAAAGTATTCTCGATCCATTTCAGACAAGTATTCCAATGAAAAGTCTGTGAATGATGCTCAAGCTGTGATCCAAAAGTTGCAAAAGAAAAAAATCACCATCAACCCACACGAAAACCGACTGTTGAATGATCAAGAGCGAATTTTAAAGTCGCCATCAAAAGCAGATGCTGTTTCAGTCAAGTCTCGGGCACTGCAACTGACTGTAAATGCCAAACATAATTTCACTTCACCTCCTTTGATTAGTATAGTGGAACAAGCACGATATAATGAAGCCGAGCGTGTAATTTTAGACGAAGAAGCGCTTTTTGGACGATACACTCGAGATATTCACAATCGAGCTGTCCCTGAAGATGAAGCCATTCGTCGATTTGATATGATCAAATGGTCGTGCAACGCATACAATGTGCCAACCACTTTACCATCATTGCACGGTGCCGAAGATATCGATACCAACGATTTACGTTCTGAAAACACGTTAATTTCGTCTAAACCCCTTGCAAAAAAACGTCCCGGGATGCTAGGACCCTGTTCAAAACCTAATTGGCGGACATTTAATACACTTCCTCCACCTAGACGACGAGCGCGAGGTGCTCAATTTGAACAAGTTTTGACTGCGGAAAAAGTAGCAAATGTGCAACTACAGGTACTTATAGACACATTGAAAGAGGAAATGGAGCGCAAAGCGATGGATATAGCGTATTTTGAGAGTTGCACAGAGCTGCAAGATTTTAAAGAAGGATTGCTAGAATTCATTCAGCAATCTCAGCGGGAGTTGCAGCTTTTGCGTGAAGAGATTGCAGAGAAGGTGTGTTTGTGTGAGAAAAAGGTTGTCGGTATACAGAAGAAGGAAGAGTTGCTGTTGACGTTCAAGGAGCAACAAAAGACATGCAAGGATAACTCGGTAAGTCAGCCACTTGTCTTTAACAACGTTTGCCTTGATTTTGTACAATGACATCACAATATCTGGGCAGCATGCAAAAAGGATTGACGCGTTAGTCCCTGATTTGAATCAAGATCAGAACCGACCCCAGGCTGCTAAACAGCGCCAAATCAACCATGCAGAGCCTTTAATACAACACTTTTGTGCGACGCAATTTCAGAAACTTGCTCGCGGCATGTTGACCCGAGCGAGACATAAAAACACAAAGGCCAGACTAACCGTTGCAAGCGCTTTGATTCAGGCGGGCGTCCGTGGGTTTCTTGCGCGGCGAAGTGTCGCCAAATTGTACTGGCAAAGGACAGCATCCATTCACATTCAGCGTGTTGCTCGGGGCTGGCTTGCTCGACAGCTTGTACGAGCAAATCAGACGCAAAAATATCAAAGATATTATGCGATTCGGATTCAGAAATGGGTAAGAGGTCACTTTGGACGGATTCGAATGGCAAAGATTCGCGAGTTGGTGAACTGGCGGTTGCAGCTTGCTCTTGCAAGTCGATCCATCGACGCAGAAGAGCTCCAGGAGTTGGCACGAGCTTGTCAATCAATGGTTTCTTTGCCTGGAAGCTTGACTCAAAGTACGAAAACGCGAGACAAACCACTCCCGACAATTCTCCTTGGTCTTGTACGCTTGTTGATACTTTTTACAAGTGATTCGGATGGTGAGTGGGATGTTTCCAGCGTTTGTTGGCATCAAGCTGCTTGGTTCTTACGATGCAGTACCGGACTTTTACGTCGCATGCAGAACGTCGCTGATGCCGCCGCTGGAGCCGCACGAGCTTATAAGTCACCATCAGGAAGATTTGAAGCTGCTGGTGCTGCGACCCCCACGCCGTACCTACGAGAGTCTACTCTGGGTGCAGCATTGCTCGATGTGTATTTAAAAGATCCAGATTTTCAAGTCGAAACTTTTGAGAGAATTTCACGCGGTTCGCGAGCTGCTGTGATGATTTTTCAGTGGACAAAGGCTTTTAATGCGATTGTGCGACTCCAACATCTTGTCGAACGCAGCATAATGTCTTTGGATCCGTTTTTAGTCATTGAACGCACCTTGAGCAAACGTGAAGCTCAACAGGAAATGAAAGAGCGACGCGAGGCCAATTTTAGTGGTCAAATGGTCACTCGACGTTTTGTTCCTTTAGAGTTGACCCACGCTCGTGGGTATCCATTCCATCGAAGTCGTCCTTTGTTGCTCGTCGTGGCAACTGATATTCCTCTGAAAGCTCGGAAAAATATCCTCGAGAAACTCCAAGTGTGGTTGCCCGGCCTCTTTGTCACCATAAAGCGCCCTCTGGCAACTGCAAGTGAGAATTCAAGCTTCCCAAATTCTATTTTGATGTTTGATTTCAAAGCAATCAAGGATGCATTAGCGCTTGGACAAAGTGTGATCCTTGAAGGTGATCTGGGTCTTTTGGACGTGACCCAACGTTGTTTTTGTAATTCATTCGCCAGTGTCAAGAATGGATTGCAGCCGCTTCCAATGTGTATTCTTGTAAGACATCAACGCACGAGATACAGAAATTTTAATGAGGCGAAACAAGGCAACGACATGAAAGAGGAAAAACAGCGAGAGGAGACAAAGTGTCAAACGCTAGATGCGGATTTAAAGGTGGCTCTTGATCGAACAACGAGACTGCGGATGGAGTTAGAGAACGATACGATCACTCGTGAGATGATTGAGCAGGCAAAGTGCGAGTTGGGTGAAATCTCCTCAATTTCAGCAATTATGATCGTCATGAAAGCCGTGATCGTTCTACTGACACCTGAGAGTGCTTACAAGGCTTCGCTAAAAAGTGATTTTGCAGATGATATGGTAGAATGGCACCTTTACCGTCAGCTTTTAGCACAGCCAGCCTCGTTACGAGCCAAGTTACAGCAAGTGGATGTCACAATGATTCCATCTGCCAACTTGGTAGCAGTCGAGCAATGTATATGCCATTCACTTTGGCCTGACGCTGTCGTTGCGCGATCACAAGTTACTTATTGTCGTCTTCTGTATGCTCTCGCAGCTTGGGTCGAGTCGGCAACTCGAGTCGCCCGATTAATTTCAGCTAATGGAACAGGATCGTTAGCCCCTGAAATTACACGCTCTTATCCCATACCTGGTCTATTTGAGCGAGTAATCGTCTTTGACGATAGCCGACCAGATTCTAAACAGAGTGGAGCAGGTCAAGGAAAGGCAGCGATGGATCTTTTGGAAGCTGTGCTTTCTGATGTGCAAGTGTACCAGACAGCGCGTCATCTCGAACGCATTTGTGGCATTAAACGTCAGGTGAATCAAATCAAGGAAAGGAATCGTAGTGTGATAACGCTCTTTCATGAATGTCGACGTGTATTCGCTATTGCCTATTCTCCAAGAACGAGTCAGCGATGGATGACAGTGATCTCCGAAAATGATATCGACAAAATTTTGATGCCAATCGAAGGAAAGATTCGAACTAATTTACCGCCAACGTCCCATGCAGAGATGTATCTGAGGCTTACTCGCCTTTGTTTTTTTCAAAAACGTCAATTCGAATCTTTTTCAGATTCAAGCGAACATTCAGAACCGTTTGAATTAGTGCTGCGACCACATGCCTCTCGACTTTATCGACATGTGCTGCAATTTGGCGGGTTCTTCACAACCATAACAATTGCAGAGCTTTCGCGTGGACATGTAAAGGTTGACGCATTTGTACATGGTAATAGTTTGCAGGCACCTTCCACTCAATCCGTCATGTTGAGTTTGATAGTTGACCTTGAAAACATTCAAGGTCGAGTTTCAGGAGCTCAATCTCAAAACACGATCGTTCCTGCGCTGTACATACCTTCACTGATGCTAGATCGACTTCATCTATACAGCATCACACGTACTAACATGGTCTTTTCGGAGTGTCGACAGGAAATAAAGCCTTTGTTACGACTCGGATTTCGAACTTCTGAAAAATCTTATGGACGCGTACTTTTTCGTCGCGCAATACGACTCAGTGTCAATCGCCTGGAAAAGCGATGGATATTTACGCTCATCAAGCACCACGAGGATGGCGAATTTCGTGCTGCATTTTACGCTCCTCGATCATGCACACGTCACATTTTTCGAATTACATGTGATTGTGCGAAAGCAATACTATTTCTTTCAAAATTCGCAACGTCTTCCCAGCTTCACCACGATTTATCAGAGACATTCCGTCACTCAAAGCCTTTCTTAATGAAACATCAAGACTGTTCTGAAGACACTGACGATGTTGAGCATGAAATAACGGAAACGAGATTAGGAGACTTGTTTACCTCGGACCATCTACGGCGGTGCATCATTTCCAGATTCTCATGTGGGCTTCGTATTCAAGAAAATTTACATCAGAAATTACTTAGAAATCAAGTCATGCGCATGTATGTCCAAGTCGAACTTAGTTACGAAGGAGACACACGGAATGAAAGATACGTAAGAAAAGCAACTGCTCTTCTGTTTCGTATGTGGTTACCTGCATCTTGTCGTGAGCAATATCTGGTAGTTAGCAATAGCAAAATTGAAGCCACGGTAGGACTGTCTTGGAAGTCTCGTATTCAATCCAGCGGTAGAGAGCGACTAGAATTCTGTCAAAATTTTGTACGATGCTACTTTGAGTGGGATCCAAGCATTGAAAACGGATGTGTGGTGGCCAACTTACCGTATGCCATACTTAACGCGACTGAACTGAAAAAAGAAAGCACCAAAAAGCCCAGTAGGCATGACTCGACGTAGCAAATTGTAAGGCCGCAAGCACCGCAGAAGGATCATGATAGTGATTTCATAGCGGATAGTGAGACGTGTTGCTCTAGAAAGTTCTTTGTAAACCCACCAGGTCCACGTGTTGGTGATAGTTCCAAAGCAAATTTTAATTTTTCAACATTTCGACCCGACCAAGAATGAAACGATCAGTTATTACGTAGTGTGCTTACTAGGCGAGATACCACACGAAGCTTTTATCACCACCAATTTTGTTCGATGTTTGTCTCCCTTTAGTATAATGCTGACCATTCAGGTTCAGATCCTGTACTGTACTGATTGTCAATCTTGTTGTATTACTCATGTCCAGACACGCAGATCTTGAGCAATTTTGACGTTGACGTTTCGAAGCGAGCTTAGAGCATTTTGCTACAAGCGTCGACTCCTCAATCCATTGTCGCTGATATGACCTTAACAAAATGTGCTTAGGAATACTATGATGGTCAATTGACTTGACGCAAAGAGTCAAAATGAACGATATTTGTAAACCATTCGAGTTATCGGAAATTGATGGCGTATGCTTTTGCTGCAGCTTAATTTTGGTATAAATTTCGTTTTTAATCAGCAGTCACAGAGGACTGATTCCTTCTCTAATCCGTCAATTACACTGATCAGGCAAGCGGGATCACTTATGGCAACTAAGTCCAGAATGCAATGCCCTCAAGTAATGCTGAAACGTAGCTTTCTTCGATAAAAGTCATTTTCGTCAACAATCGACTGTCTCAGCACTCGTGGATATGGTAAAGGCGAACAGTCTCAGTTCTCAGTCTGGCATAGGATGGTTTAATGCCTTCTCCGCTTGATCGATGAGTGGCTTTGAGATAATGTACCTTTGAGATGTATTATACCGACACTTCAATGATCATTATGTTCACATGTTGAGCAGTTCCGTATATCGTTGAAGTGTGGACTTTATCGCGCTACATTCTCATAGCATTCAATCAACATTGTCAGAAAACAAGCAAAGAAAAAAATGCAGATTGGGTTTCGTTTTGTATGTCCAAAGCGACACTAAGGTCTGCAGTAAAAAAGAGTATTGACGGCTGCTCTTAAGACACTGCGATCTTTCGATATCGGGTTAGTTGATTGAAGCATCAGAAGAAACTCGATTTTATATCCGGTTATCGAGCACGTTCGAAATACCATCTAGACTCAGACGGCACTAGCCTGGGTAATCACCCGCTGACTTGAGCCGTGTGGAAGATTACACGTGTGAAACGGCACCAGCTTTTAGATGGGAAGGAATTGAGAGCCAAGGGCCAAGATAATCTTTGAGCTTGGCCTCTGGTTTGAAAGACAATGATGACAATATTGTCTGTAGTGACATTAGTGGCATATGCAGCGGGGCTGCCGTAGCTTAGCGCTTGAGGAAGCGTAAGTTAGGTCACCGACCTTTCGTTCTATACTTAGAACAAGTACGAGTTTAGCAGTTCGCAATCCGCTTACTCCAAGAGTAATTATTGCCTTAACCCAAGGCTATTTACTCTTCCGTTCAAAATCCAAGACTGATTCATATTTATTTTTATCTGCGGCAAAATCGCCTAATTTTAAATGTATAGATTTTCTAAAATATATACAGTAAAATCTAAATACGTGCATAGCTACTGGCTACCTAGCCATATACCGTATTCTTGTTTGGGTGCAGTCACACCATGCCCATCTCGTGTGATACACACACCTGTTACAAGGGTACGTATAACCCCGTTACACTTCCCCCCATTAAGATTGAGAGCATTTACAGTTTCAAACGAATATTGCCACAACGAGGCTCGCGTGCCCGCTAGACACTGCAACTTGGTTCGTTGGAATAAAACGTCTTCCGTGCTCAATTAGCCCTGTGTCAAAGACACTGAAGTCATCAAGTCTCGCTGGTTTGGGCAGCGAACGCGGGCAGAGCCCAACTTCGTCTCCCGCACGCGGTGCAATGTCGGACAGTGCGTTCGCGGCATCGATGGATGTAAATCCTAAGCTCGATGAGCCCGGGCGTCGCGCTCCGCGCACGCTATTAGTGACGAGTGACCTCGTTTAGGATGTGGAGGTGGTCGACTACGAGTCTGAAACTCCTTTTTTCCGCATGGGATGACGAGGAAGGCGAGCCACGCCAGTGGTGTGAGTTGAGCCCTG